CAAATATTACAAACTGACCATATATCGGCATTTATTTAACTACTAAATCCAAAGTACAATTTAACTACTAAACTTAAATTATCAGTTAACTCAATTTCAGACCATTTGAAATTCCAATATGTAACAATCATAGAGGCTTAATCACCCATGTGGTTAAGCGTAGGCGATTTGTTCGTGGGATGAGTTAGTGTGCACGACCATGAATTCGAAAGTCCGTGGTTCGCATCTTATTGCCACAAAATTGCACTCACACATTGGGAATGTGGATGCGTTATAAGAGTGACGGTCAAATCACACTACCCGATTAGAGTAACTTAAGAGTTGATGGTGGGTGCTGTTGAGTAGCTGTCTTCCCTCTAATATAACAGTTGAAAATTAGGTATGGCTAGCGCAAGTATGGCTGGTGTAGCTTTGTGAGAATACCCAAAGCAAACGAACACTAATCCCTCGTTTTAAATACGATTTGTAAATGTTGGTGCAGAAGTATGTTGCCAAAGATGCGAGTCGTAAAATCAATGGCGATATGTTTAATATTTACATATTTGGTTTCGGCGAATTCCCCACCACTTGATCGTGTAAGTGGGTTGTATATCTGTAAACCGTAGGTGAGTGGCAAGCTTCGTGGTTTATAAGTCTACATTCCGCAACGGACACAGGTAAAAAACAAAAACAAAAAAACTAATTATTCAGCTTTCAGTTAAAAAGTAAAAATCCTTAACAGTTAATTGAAAATTCCATGAAAGCTAGTTAATGTCCTTAGTTTAATATTTTCCAGTTTATTATTGTCTTACAAGTCGCGTGACTGCTCAAACAAAAGTTATCTTTATAAATAAAAGCCACTTAATAAAAGCTATATAAATTTAGTTTAAGCCCAGAATAAATATGGTCTAACAATCGAAATCACCCTATAAAGTGCAGGCTGTATCTTAAATGATCATGATAGGGTTTATATTTATTTGTTTTAATACAAAGCTGCTCAATGGGTTATTTTCGTTGTGTCCGCCGCGGGGAATGAACCTCGAATATAATCTTTATAAGTTGTCAAACCTATCGCCGAGTAACAGAGGTAATATATGATAAATATGGTCCATATTATGAACAGAAAATGCAAGCTTTTTTGTATTCTTTTTATTTTTATAGTGAGATATATTTTAAATTCCGAATCTTGTAATTTTTAACTATAGAAAATAATTAGAGTTTGCCAAAACTTTGATATTTTTAACAACGTATAAAAATATAAGCAGGTTTCCAATAAATATGATCCAAGTTCATTTCAGAAATGTTTGATAAATGTTATCTGCGTTCACACAAACACAAACGTTTTAATTATGTGTTTAACAGAATAAAATCAATGTAATATTCCATTCACCTAAAGCTCTGTATATTAAAGTAATTTAAACGAATATTGACAAAATAAACGTGCACCCACAATATAATACGTGGAAAGTAAAATTTCCTTTTTATTAGAAACTATGTTTTAGATGTGTTTATTAAAACAATTAGGCGCCAACCACGTTAATAACGTCCATTATTTTAATTAAAACCTCGTGTGTGTCTAGCTTACCCTTACTGATTGAAACATTTCAGTCACCATCCTTTCAACAAAAATTAGGGAAAGTTATAGCAATTAATAATAGCAATACGTAACATTTAACATATTACGTTAAAGCCCCCCAATGGCACAGCGTTATGTCTGCGGACTTACAACGCTAGAAACCGGGTTTCGATACCTGTGGTGGGTAGAGCACAGATAGCCCATTGTGTAGCTTTGTGCTTAATTCCAAACAAACAAACAAACTTACGTTAAACAAAGGTATTACTCTCTCATAAAAAAAAAGAATCAGATCCAGTTTAACCCAGTACAACATACAACTCATTGGCGTTAAATATCATATCTAAACAGAAACAAATAAAAAGGGACTATATCACACCAATAGTTATTTTTAGTGAACTTTCTTCGGTCTTAAAAAAAAATATACCTTATTGATAGAATTGGAATTTTCAACCTGAACTGCCCTATATAAGCATGTGTTCTAAATGATCAGGTCAAAGGCCCCTATGATTCAGATATAGCAGACCCTATTCTTTTAAGTAGTAACCAAAGGGAAGGCAACCAGCCAGTAGTACCCGCAGTTAAAATAGCTTAGTCCATATTTTTGAATCGAAGAACAGGATTGATTGTCACCTTTTTAACGCACCTACAGCTGCTAGTGTGAAGTGTTCAGCGACATCGCGACACGAACTCCTGATACTTCAATCCGACTCCGACACGGTAATCATTAAGCCACGCCCAACCAACTTAATCTATAGAATTCGGTAATTAGAAAATGGATTGGCAATTACGATATTTGAAAAACTTGGAAGAATTGCGAATAAATTAATTAATCTTCATATGACCAAAATTTCCTCCTCAGGTGAATAAGTTACCTTTAGAAGTAGTTAGAAATCCATTAAACTTATTCGGTCAAAGAAGGATTGATTTCACCTTATATACTATAGAATATGTTTCTAAATGTTCCAATTATGAAATTAAATTCAATTATGGTAAATTGCGTGAAACTTATGACCAAATATTACACTTGTACCTGTAATTACAATTGAAATACATTCGTATTCGTTTCGAGATCTTGTTGTATAGGTATGACAAAACAAAACATTTAATATGAAGTTTATTTAATATTACACACCAAGCTTGTACATAATTTAAGCAGTTCGACGCACTGTTGCAAAAGCCTAACACATCTTAGATCATGTTTTTCGAACACAAAAGTTTAGCTAACGGTGCATTATACAGCTATGAGTGCATTATTTAATCTTTTGCTTTTCTGCCTATCATTAAAATCAACTGTTAATATTTAGATACGAGTCAAGACGTTATGTACGAAATGCGAAATGTATCGAATAGCAAATATAGGATGTCGTTTGAAAATTGTGGACATTAAGTTCTTTTCCTAAAGACATGTTGTTTGTATATATTTCGCATTGATACTTAAAACGTTTATTTTATAAATTTAAAAACTCACAAGAGACAGATTAAATTTGAATTTTATCATTTCAAAGGTTTATCTGCCTTTTGGAAAAAGCCACTCGCCATCTTGCTATAACAAATTTAATTATTGTCTCAGACAATTAATTTTATTCGTTCGACGTATCATAATTATTTATATATAATTTCTGTTGAAGTATTTGTGATTTGTAATTATATAATTCTTATTTATAAGGGTAAAAAATAAGCATTTTAACTTTCTTTCCGCATTTTATAGATTATTATTTTATAGCTGCAGTTATAGTTCAGGAAAAAACTTCTGGATCTATTAAATACTTCTACATTAAATGACAAAATTTTAACAAATAATCAAGTTTATAGATAATCCCCAAGCAAAATGTTTTAGATTAAAATTACTTAAAACTATAATGAGAAACCACTAATATAACTAAACAAATAAGTACACGTGCCAGAATTTTTTCATAAAACAGAAAACTTTAATATATTCATAAAGAAGTATGATAGTATTCCTAACGGTCAGATTTTCGTCCGTTTCAAAAGGAAAAAAATTGTGACTTTTATTTAGTTAATTGTTTTTCAATATCTATTTGTTTTTAAATCGCTAAGAACGGAGATTTTTATATCGCCGAATTTATAATATAGTTTTAGATTATAGAAAGTTCGAATAATAAATGACACAATTCTTTTTCTAGATAACTGAAACATTACGTAGTATCAGGGATATATTTGAATGCTGATAAATATATTTACTGCATATAGTCAAACAAAATCGTCATCATTTACGTATTCGCCAAAATCTAATCTCCTACTTACCTAAAATATATTGTTTCACCCAAGTCAAGCAGTTTATAGAGACTCGATGCTTTTATGGAAAGATATTTTTCACTCGTATCTATGTATGTTATAAACTCATCGAAGCCTGCGTGAGCTGTTGTACAACCAGTTATAAAAATGCTTTTGCAGGTGGCTCATCACTCATCAAGTTCATTCATGTTCTATAAACGAACTGTCATGTCTTACACGCAGCCCGGGAGGTAGGAAAAGACACTTGTATATTTAGCCCTACCAGAGTAGAAATCCACGTCTTATAGCTCTCCTTGCTCAACTCCGACTGTTCCAAAGTACCTTCTCGCGTGAGAAAATGGGATGTTTAGGTCACGTGAGTAATAATGGCGATTGCGCTGTCTACAGCGAATGCTGTTCATAACTTTGTTGTGTTGATGAATGAAAAAGATGACTTATTTGTTTGGCTAGCTAATTTTTAGTCTATTTTGTTTTAATAAACTCATTACCTTTTACGTCTGTATAATTCTGTAAATCAATCATACCTCTAATAGATATAAATGTTCTTATAAATTTATCCTGTTTATTCTACCGCAATGAAACTTCAAATTTTCAGTAAAATACTACAAGAATATTCTCGAATATTAACATTAACAACGCCGTAATATTTAAGATTTGCTGAATGAAAACTGAAAATATCAGAAAGATTTTTGCTAATAGGAAAGTTGCGTTTACTTTTAATGTGTCAAAACTCATGAGATGTTTTTCGACAGAATGCTGCATATTTACTGTCTCGTTGTTAGAGACACCACCAAGTGATTGGTTGAGCTCATGTAGTCTTTTGAACACAAAGAAAACAGGCATATTTATGAGCAGATGATCTCAGCAGTTTAGAAATTTTACATTTATAGGAAAAAATATCATAAGATCTGAATTGACATCTGTCGAAAACTTTACTTAGAAGTTGGCCAAGTTCTTCTCTTAAAAACTATTACTAATTCATCTATTCTAATGCAGTATATTTTCAATTATGAAAACAGTGACAGGAGACTTCTTGTTTAAAACTTAGCAGGTAAATCTCCTGTACTTTTTAAATGTTTTATGATAAATAATATAGAAATTTGATATACCATTAAGTTCAGATTACTATGTAAAGATACATGATCGTAGTGTTAATTTTTGTGTTTTTTAACTAAATGAGTTTTCTTGTAGTTTTTATTTGATTAATATAGTATGGAAATAATTAATTAAAGGATTTAAAACAAAAATCAGACCTCAAAAATCACAAGTGCATTTAAGGCTCAAAATGTCTTAACAACTGCAAAAAAAAACAATAACTTTTCTATAATTTATATTTTAAACTAACCAACTATTAAGCAAAAGCAGACATTTCAAACAATTGAATGGACTTTGATGCAGACTACAATAATCAACAAATGTAAAACATGGACAAAGCTTTACAGTGACCAATAACTTTGCTTTAATGAATTTAAATTGCTTTCGTATTGCTGAGATTCGAATACACTTGAAGTACACAATGATAAAATTTTAACAACTGTCAATATTAAATGACATTACATTAGTCAGGCCTGATTGCAAAAATAATTTTCTACGTTGTTTTGACAGAAGAATCATTAATTTGTACAATTATCAATGAGACAACACAAGAACCTTAGATATAAGCCTGTCCTTTGCCATATTTCCAGATAAGCAAGTTCAGTTTAATTTTTGGCTTACCAATGACTCATCGGTAAGTCTGAAGTCTTATAACGCTGAACGATATAGGATTCGATCCCCCCTGGTAGGCACAGCACAGACAATCCATTGTGTATTTTGTGTTTAACTATTAATAAACAATTGATAAACTTAGAATACACAATTGCAATTTTGCCCTTAACTCTCTCTTTAGATTTAAAACCAAAATATGAAACCCGCTGTTTCCTCTTTGTCTTCACGGACAATGTTAGAATATCATAATGGCAAATCACTGTCAGCAAACTGGACAAGGAATTTTGTTGTTTTTTTTCTCAAAAAGAACAACCATATTCTTGAAATTCATCATATTTATAACGACTGAGCCAAATTTAAAAACTTTCTTATGATCCTACCTTTGTAATTATTTAAAACTTTAAATGTTTTCTTTTCATTTAGAGAATGAAAACAGTATTTTGAATTTAATATTCATTGACATTAGATCTATTGATTCTCTTCCAGGTATTTTGCATGGTTATTCTAAACGGTAAAAGTAAGTATACCTGTTAAAGCTATTCTTGTAAACATACCCATTAAGCGTATTGTTTTTGACCTGCGTCTAGCACCAACTTGAACGTAATTATAAATATTTTAAACTCACTTAGTTTAGTCTTACTCTTATCAAATTTCAAAATGTTCTGTGTTAATGAATTTAATTTTCCTAAACTTATCTTAAAATTTTATTTACCAACATTCTTATCACTGTTATGAATACTAATCTGACTTATTAAAATTACGATATTTAAGGTATATTTCCAAAATAGTCTTAACAACCTGTTTAAATTTGGTATTAAGTGTTCACATTTCATATTAGATAATGGCATCTATGAGTAGATTGATGGTGTCTAAGTCCTAATATGACTATTATGTTGTTATACTAGCGTGAAAAACAACAATGTACCAGGGACACTGATGACATATGTGTTGTTTTTAAACTGCTCTCTAACATTAAGTTTACTGTTAAAATGGAAAATGATATTAAATTTTTAGGACATTTTCATTAAACATATTCAGAGTGGCTCTAATGTTGGATGCTAATTTTGAAAATGTAACCTATTTCAAATATTAACTTCCATAGCCTTTCATTTTACTAACAACTCATCTTTCTTTTAAACAAGAACTTTCGAGCAACAGATAAGCACTCAGAAATACCTATCCTCTGGTCTTCTTCAACAAAAATGTTTGGAGAATACTTGAATAAAGTTTCAAAAAGAGTATTCTATCGCTTTTCCAAGAGTTGAAACATATGCTGTAACTTTGTTTCTTCCATACTTTGGTGATGAGTCATTTGTTTTAAGAAAGAAAATTGTTCAACTTCTAAATTCAGGTTACATTTACATGGGCCCCTAGTGGCATGTCTGCGGACTTACAACGCTAGAATCCGGGTTTCGATACCCGTGGTGGGCAGAGCACAGATAGCCCATTGTGTAGCTTTGTGCTTAATTACAAACAAACAAGCATTTACATGGCCCGGCATGGCCAGGTGGTTAGGGCTCGCGATCTGCGGTTCGCAGGTTCGAATCCCTATCACCCCAAACATGCTCGCCCTTTCAGCCATTGGGGCGTTATAATGTGACGGTAAATCCCACTATTCGTTGGTAAAAGTGTAGCCCAAGAGTTTGCGGTGGGTGGTGATGATTAGCTACCTTCCCTCTAGTCTTACACTGCTAAATTATGGACGGCTAGCGCAGATGGCCCTTGTGTAGCTTTGCGCGAAATTCATAACAAACAAACAATACATTTACATATTTATTTTCAAAAATCAATTTAGACTTTATGATCATATTTTCCCACAAAGATGATATTCACAAATTACTGATATTGCCAATTATTTACAAATGAGCGGGTTTTATGTGTTAAAAAAGAATACTCATTTGTTTCCGACAAAGTATTAGTGAGAGTTCAGCATTCTAATTCTATAAAAATTTTACACATTCTAAGGATGAAAGTAATTTTCTGGCTAGAAAACAAAAAACATGTTGACACTGGTTTCACTTTCGGCTTTTATTGAGCAAAATATACATATTTAGTATCCGGGCATAACGTTTTTACTGCATGTAAAGTATTCCATGAATGTTATAGCTAATTAGGGCAATTGTTCCCCAATGATATTGCAAGAACCTTTTTTGAAAGTAATATTCATAACAGTTTAAATCATCTTTGACAAAATTAATTACCTGAATACATTATATGAAAAGCATCTTCATTTCCCATCTATTATTTTGTATCTGTTCTATTTATCTTATCTTTTCTGAGTCTCTTCCTGTCCTTGGTACCTCTAATAATTATTCGCGGCCAATTACGAAACACTAATTCTGAGTTTTCTTTAACTTGTACCAAATTCTCTTAGTCTCTATAGCATTTCAACCATTCTTTTCACCTTTCCGTTCTATTTTATTCTAGACAACGAGGAAAATATTCGATTATTTCCACTTTCACAAAGTTTCGTGGAATTATAAGCCCGTTCACCGTTTTTCTTTACGGTTTGTAAGATGATCAGAAAATATATAATCTGTGCTTTCTTGGAGTCCTCTCTTAGTTTCCGACAAAGATTATTTTTTTCCGATGGATTGATACATCTTCCTAATTTTAATCAGATATTGCTATTTTTGTTGTTGTTGTTACTAAGCATTTGGCTTCCACATAATCAATGATTTAATATTTTTCTTATTGTATCTATATTCTTCTCGTTATTTTATTATAAATACATATTAATATTTAAAAATATTCCTTTGATATTTATGATTCACCCTGAAATCCTACAACATTGAAGATTTTTTTTATTGGACGTTCCCATTAAAATATAAAAAGAAGACAGTTTTATTTGCATAAAGTAGTTGATATATTATAGCTTATGCTGATTACTTATAGCCTCATAGTTGCTGTTAGTTCCTTCTTCCACATTTAAAGTAAAAAATTAACATAAAATCCAATTGAAATAATCGTATTTTGCAGGAAAATTTTACTTGAAATAAAAACACAAACATATCAGTTATTATGATTCAATGTTAAGAATACAACAACCAATGAAAACTGTAATAATTCAATTGGATGTCATGGATATACATTAATAATGTTCTGTTTCGCATTAGGTGTTTAGTATTAGAAATGTATGCATTTCCACCGAAAAACGAGTTACTCATCAAAATTTGAAATGATTTTGTTAGACTGACAGGATTAAACAATTTGAAGGATACCACTCTTGTCATTTAATTTCGTAAAAGCTACAGAAACAAATAGGTTAGTGTTTAGTTGAAATATCATGCTCATTAAAATAAACTGTGAAATATTGAACTGTAAATGAATGAATTATAACACTCCATGGTTTAATTTATGTAACTGTTTAAACTCAAAAATATCAATTCTATTGGGAAATGCACCAACTTTCAGTTGAAATTTCACAATAAGTATTTCAAGATTTGATGTGCAATGAATAATAAACTGTATATTTTGCAAAGTTGAATTAAAAGCTAAAAATAAACGTTTCTAGAAAAATGTAATAAAATATAACTGTGGATTTAAACAAATTAAAATGATAATAAAAAAAAACTGTAATTAGTCTACAT